CCGTGCTCCTCACCCTCTCCCCACGCTGCGAAGCAGGTGAGGCACCTCCCGGTCTGGAGATCGGGGTCGTCCCGTCGGGGACGTCAGGCCAGAACCCCTGGTGTGGTGTGGGGATGGTGCTGCTGGCAGGAGGGGCAGCCCCCAGGGCAGGGCAGGGCTGTGTGTCCTGTGGTGCGGGGAAGGATGGAGATGGCATCCAGGTCCAGGCAGCTTTGGGAAAGCTGGCTGCAGGGTCAGCAGTGCTGGGCACCTGGAGCACCCTCCTGCCCCGGGAAGGAGGGAGGTCTGCAGCCTCTGCAGAACTTGGGGGATGTTGTGTGCATCAGCCTTGTCGTGGGGGAAGGTCTTAAAGATGGCTCTCCAAAGCTGGTGTTCACCATCTCTCTCCATCTCTCTCTCCTCCAGGCCCTCACACACCGTTAGAGTGCTGCTACGGCTACACGAACTCCACTATCCATCTGGCTAAGCTGAGGAGTTTCTACAGGACTCCCAATGAGTGTTTTATGCCAGCAGTTGTGTAAGTCCTGGCAATTTCCTCACCACTGCGCTGTCTCCTGTGCCACTGTGGGTTCAGTTCACCCACCCCATCTTGGAACAGGACTGGGCCAGGTCTGCATGGCCTCCACAAGTGGCATGAAGAGGGCAGGGCCACTTCTGCAGGGCAGAGTCCAAGACACGAGTCCATCACAGCTCCTGAAGGCTCTGCACAGACCCTAGAGGCTTTGTGCTGCAGGATGAGCTGCTTGTAGGACACCAAGCACCCAGCGTGCAGGGCAACAGGGGAAAGAGGAGTGCAGGGAAGGGAGGATGGCGTGGACGTGAATGGGACTATAACTTGTTTCTCACCAAGCCTCACCTTTCGTCTTGGCAGGTTTGAGACCAAGAAGAGGAAGATCTGTGCAAACCCCAAGGTGACTTGGGTGGAGAAAGCAGTTGAGTACCTTGAAAAAAAGAAGGGACGTCATGCCCCGTGATGTGGAGCGGGTGCCCTGGTTCAGGCTACCCAATGTCCTGGTGGGAAGGTTCATAGTCATCCTCCTGGAAAGGGCTGCTGGAGGCCCCCACTGGAGGGAATGGCCCTGACTCCCCAGAGCCCTGCACTGCATCAGCCAGCTGGGCTCCAGCTCCAGGGGTGCTGCC